CCACTTCCCCTCCCACGAACTCCGGCTCGCGTCATGGCCGCCGCCGCCGCTCTGGAGGCGGCGGCGCCTCCGAGCGCCCTGTGGGGCCTCGTGCACGACTTCGTCACGGGTCAGCAGGAGGGTCCCGCTGACCAGGTGGCTGCAGGTACGGCCGGCGGCGCCGCGCGGCTCCCGCAGGGGGCCGACAGGAGGGAGCGGCCTCAGCACGGACGCCGGCGGGAGGGGAAAGGGGCCGAGAGGACTTTGAGAGGAGGGTCTCGGGGCTGGCGGGTGGGCGCCGCGAGCTTTGGAGCCGCAGCTGGTTGGAGAGTCGCCTGTGTCTTCCTAAAAGCCGTTCTGCGCTCCTCCTCTCCCTCTAGCCAGTGACAAGAGCCTTGTTAGGCTTTTCAGGTGAGGAGACGGAAGCCCCGCGAGGGCAAGAGACGTGCGCGGGGCCGCAGCCAGCCCGGAGGGGCAGCTGGGACTCAGACCCAGGCGTTCGGGTCGGAGCCAGGCGCTCCCGCCACGAAGCCACGCCGTGTGCGGGTGGTTGACGTGGGGAGAAGCACCTTCCGCGGCGTCCGCTGCCGTCGCGTGGCATCTTGGGAGCGGCCGGGCGGCCCCGCTCTCCGGCTGGCTGGAACCCGAGGGAGGGGGACCGGAGCCGGTGGGGGCATTGGAGGTGTTCTGCGTATCCTCCTTAAGACGTTCCTTCCGTGCCTTGCTGAAGTTCTGGATTCATTCGCTTCCTTTTTGTGTGGGGCGTGTGTCGTCATCTTCTTCCCAGGTCCCCCGTTTCCTGCCTTTGGCCCGTCCAGGGATCTCCTAGTTCTGACAGCTGATCCAAGATCTGAATAAAACAAATTACAGACTGCCTGGTAGTTCGGAGATTTCCCCCTTTCTGGAAAAAAAGGAATCTACTAAAAAGTTATTGAATGTTAGGAGGCCTTCAGACCTAGGGTCTAAGTAATAGAATGCAAAATGATCTCATGTATAGAGGAATTTTTTTTTTTTAAGTTTTTATCTTTGGAAATGTTGCGTGATTGGAGAGAAGTAAAGGGCTCATTTCGCTTGCAAATTGAGCATATGAGCTTTTGGAATGTGTTAGAAATGAATAGTGAATCTGCCAGAAAGAGACTACTTCCGTCTTTAGCAGTATTCCACTTTCATTCAATCATTTCATAATCGTTGAACACAAATTATTCTCCAAAAATGATGCCAAGCAATAGGAACATAAATACAAATTAGATTAGATCTGTGCCCCTCAGGAGCTTATAGTGTGGTGAGAGAGGCAACCATACTGTAAGGGGTTTGCAGGGTGATTTGGAAGCATCAGGAGCAAATGCCTGGTGCTGCCAGTAAGCTTAGCATCTTACAATTGTGTTGTCACTGCTTACAGTTAGCATGTATAGTGTGTTACCAATGTCATCTTCTCCAACGTTATTTTGAAGAGTTTCAAACATATAGCAAAGCCTGAAGAATTTTATAAGGAACACACATACACCCACCACCTAGATCCTGTCATTAACATTTTGATAGAACTTGCTTTATCGTATATCCGTCCATTCATTTAAAGTGCAGATAGCAGTACACTTCCCTCTAAATACTTTGGCAGGTCATGGACTAGACTTTGTTTACAGTTTATTTTGGTGTAAAATTTGTATCCAGTGAAGTATACACATATTAAGCGTATGTTAACTGATTGGACACATGCATACACCTGTACAATCCAACCTCCTACCAAGATATCGAACATTACTTCATCATTATCATTTGTAACTGATCTTTCACATTTGCATGTTATGAAAACAATAATTTTGGGTTTGGGGGATTCATAAAATACTTTGAACAGACAGCTGGGTAAGGGGGCTCAGGCCTGTAATCCCAGCACTTTGGGGGTCCTAGGCATGAGGATTGCTTGAGCCCAGGAGTTTGAGACCAGCCTGGGCAATATAAGGAGACCTTGTCTCTACAAAAAATTTAAAAATTTGTTGGGTGTGGTGACGTGTGCCTGTAGTCCCAGTTATTCCGTAGGCTGAGGTGGAAGGATCAGAAGGATTGCCTGAGCCCCGGAGGTAGAGGCTGCAGGGAGCTGTGATCATACTTTTGCACTCCAGCCTGGGTGACAAGAGTGAGACCCTGATTCAAGAAAAGAAAAAAAGAAAGAAAAGATAGCTTGAATAAGAACTGCTACCTTCTTATAAACATTGTAAAATTTACATTTTTGTTTATGTCTGAAAAAATGGCCCAAACTGTTGTTTAGTTTAGATTTAACTCAACTCAACTATGACTCTAACACTAGCTCTGATGTAATTTAGCCTTCCTAAGAAAAGAGGGTTGGTACAGAGGAATAGTAACAGATAAAGTGAAAAAGGTTTATGGGGTTGGATTATGCATAACCTTGGATTCCAGGCTGAGGGGTTTGAGTTACCTGTTGTAGGTAATAGGAGTTATTGTAGATCCTTGAGTGACGGAGCCATAAAATGAAAGTAAATTTGAGAAGGACTAAGTTAGTATTCTCAATCTTAGATCATGGGCCTAAGGACTGTAGAAGGCTGACAGTTTTGAAGTATTCCCAAGATAGATGTGCTTTCTTTTTTCTTTCTTTCTTTTTTTTTCTGAGTAGGAGTTTCACTCCGTTGCCCAGACTGGAGTGCAGTGGCACGCACATGGCCACCCCAGGGTCAACCTGCTGGACTCCGGCTATCCTTCCACCTCAGCCTTCCAAGTAACCAGAACTGCAGGCGTGTGCTACCACATCCGACTTTTTTTTTTTTTTTTGATTTATTGTAGAGAGGAGGTCTCGCCAAGTTGCCTAGCTAGAGTGGTCTCAAACCCGCGGGCTCCCAAAGTACTGGGATTACAGGCTGAGCCACTGAGCCTGACTGATAAATGTGCTTTCTAATCCTTCAGCCTAAATCAAGCTTTGTTAGTGCCAGAGGGACTAGCTAGCTTCCTGTTCAGCGTCTTGCAGGCTCTCTTGCAAATTGTGTTTCTCCCACAAATTGATGCAGAAGAAACACCCTGTGATCACAAAAGCAGTTACTACCAACTTTCTTTTGCACCTGGGTTCCTGATGACAGCAAGGGTCAGCTGTAAAAAAGGTGCAAGTGATGGAAGGGAAGTGACCTGGCAGTCACTAAGGGTGTAAGGACTGTCAGGCAGACCTTTTCTTTTTCTTTTTTTTTTTTTTTTGAGTTGGAGTCTCACTCTGTCGCCCAGACTGGAGTGCAGTGGCCACTCCCGGCCACCGTAGCCTCGACCTGCTAGGTTCCAGCGATCCTTCCGCCTCAGCCTTCCAAGTAGCCAGAATTACAGGCATGCGCTACCACGCCCGGCTGATTTTTTGATTTATTGTAGAGA